TTCATCGGATACTAAATCCATAACTACCAGTGTAGGTACTAGGTCCATAGCTATCATCGTCTATCTAACAGTACTAAATCCATAGCTACTAGCGTTCATCTATATGGTACTAAATCCATAACTACCAAGGTTCACTTTTCGTCTCATCCTTAAACTCATCCTTCATCACACACCAACTATTTTGACTACCCATGTTCTACCCAGCATATTTGTAGATATAAAATACATATATAGTTTAAATCATTTAAAATCTGTATAAAACATTCATTCGGAAACCATCTCAAGTAAACAAACAACGTATAAACACATAACACGTATTTCATAGCAAATACTTCATATCTATGCGGTAGAAGAAAGTAACTACATACTCACACATATAAACAACAATATATATATATATATATATATATATATATACATACACATAGCACGTATTTTATAAAATACTTCATATCTATGTGTAAGATGAAAGTGACTATACACTCACTTGATCAGAAGATGATCGGACAACACTACGACTTGTAAAAGTAGTATTCTTCGGTAGATCTGGAAGATCTTCACACAATTTGGCTTCTCGCGGGCAGAGCTTCGGCTCGGGAATTGCACTTTTCTGGATCTTCGGGACTTTGGGACTTGCTTCGGGTCTTGGAATGATACCGGGGCTTCGGGGGGTTAAAATAGGGCTTAGAGGGAGTATCGGGAGTGGGAGAGTAAGAGATGAGCAACCAAACTCAGCTGACCCTCGATTTCTATTTATATGGTGAATTTTCTGAGTTCACCTCATGAGTTTCTAATATTCACCTCGTGAGCTCAATACGTCATTGCGTTCGTCATGGAAACTTGCCCTGGAATACGTCCATCATCTGTTCACCTCGTGAGCCACTAATGCTCACCTCGTGAACTACATATGTTCACCTCGTGAGTTCTGATAGTTTTGGGGTTTCGCGCCCCGAACTTTAGAAATTCATAAATTTCGCATACGAACTCCGTTTTTGACGTTCTTTAGATCCACGCGTTGGTAAAAACAAGATCTACAACTTTCATTTAGACTTCGTCGACTAATTTTGAATTTAATTTTAATATATTATTTTTAGTAGGCCGGGACAGAAAAACTCCGTTCAAAATTCATAACTCCTTCATCTGAACTCCGTTTTCGTCTGTCTTTTTTTCGTTACGCTACTATTAACGAGATCTTAGATTGTCGTTTAGGTTGTGTTGGCTAAAAACCGCTCGATCTAATATTCGGATTTCGGGCTGCATACTACTAATGTTGAAACTTCGAAAAATCATAACTTCCTCATACGAAATCAGATTTAGATGTTCTTTTTATGTACGCTCTCGGTTTAACGTATTCTACGACTTTCATTTAGATTGCTAAGGCCAAATATTGCTCTAACGTAAATTCACTATTTACGTCGCGTTGTATCGTGCTGGTTCTGTCGCGAAACTTCGACATGTCATAATTTCTTTGTTATAACTCGGATAACGGCGCTATTTATATGTACGGAATCCTTGTAACATATACTACAACTTAGTTAAGATTATTCATTCTAAATAATCTTCTATCAAAAAGTCATTTTTAACGCTTAACGTCTCTAAATTGACTAGCCCGAATCTACGGGCGTTACAATGAAGAATCTGGAACCTTTGAGACACCAACACTGACTCGGCTTGATGTAGATTCTAGTCCATAAACTCTTAAACACTTAAGCTTTAAATTCATAATCAATATGAACTTAAAGAGGGCATAAAAATGCAAGTCTTTTCTTTATGCGGAAAGAAGACTAGAGAGTGTGAGAAGGAGGGTCATAGTTTCGGCCATTCTTCAAAAGAATTAATAGAAAAAATGCAAGCCTCAAACCTTGTATTTATAGTAGTAACAATACCCTATCTTTTGAATAAACTATTCAAAAGACCATACACTTATTTAAATATTCAAAGAACCATTCTATTATTTAAATAATCAAAAAGTCATACATTTCCTTTTTTTTTACTCTTATTTTATAAATAATAAAAGAAAGAAAGCAAAAGCTTTATATTTTATAAAACAAGTTTATAATATAAACTTTAACTTTTTGGTAAAAGATAAAACAATTTGTCTAGTCCAAAATGTTGTGCATGACTTATCAATTTACACCATACAAATTATACATAATGTTACTTGGTAATGAAAATTATTATTTCCTAGAAATATATAATTTCTAATTTAATTATAAGAGTTTTATTGAATATTTATTAAAATCAATTTCTAATAAATAATCAATTATATAAAGTTGTTATTAGTGTGACCCATTAGTATCATATGTTAATTAGCAATATCATTTTAATATGACTCTTGAGCATACCATACCTTTCACAACATTTCTGGACTATTGTAAGTATAAACTTCCAATCTTGCTCTTTAGTTCTTTAGATCACTTCATATGTGGTTTTTTTTTGGCACTTTTGGTCCATTTATGAGTGATATTGGAGTTGAGTGGACTCTGACACCTTTTGATTAGTTTAGAGTGTTTCTTGGACCTCATGGACTATGAAAGTTATGATCTTTTGCCTTTCCTTTTAGCCATACAAGTTATCTTGGTCCTTTAGGTCATTTTGGTGCAATAAAGTTTAGATCTTGAAGGATTGACGCATTATTATGGATAAAGTTGGAAACTTTATCCATCTAGACATATTGTTGATTCGAATATGAAAGTGTGAGACTTGGACTTAATGGATTAAGTTGAGAAAGATGCATTTATGGGTCCCTTTAAAACTTAAAGTCTAGATCTTGGTGGTTTGGACCATATTAATGGATAAAGTTGGAAACTGTATCCATTATAAAGCCATTAGGAATTAAATATGATGTTTTAGCTTTTTTCCTTATGAATTAAGCTCTTTTTGAAGAAAAGCCTTTCAGACTGAGGACCACGGCATTACCAAGGAAGGCCACGACATCGTGGAGGGACTTATCGTGTTTGTTTTGACTGGACATGCCCACGACGTGGTGGCATGTATTCCACGTCGTGGTAGTAGATTTTGATCAGGACTAGATTGAGTGGCCATGATTTGGCTATGGGTTGGCTACGACATGGGTGTCAACTAGATTAACTTTGACCAAGTTTGACCGAAGGGTATTTTGGGTATTTTGAGTTGTAATTGAGATTGGTAACTATTTGATAATTGGGTAACGGGTAGAGTTGGTATTCTGGCAGAGACCTATTCAACTATTTGTTCGGACTAAGAGGTGAGTTTTGCTCACTGTACTTATGGGTCGAAGGCACCAATACTGACCCACTAGTTTATGTAACCTGGTGTATAGGATGATGTTATGCTAGTTATATGATAGATTAGTATATTTGTATGATTACATGTATTTGTTGGATATGTGTTTTGTTACCTATTGTATATGTCAACATATTGTGGAGGGGTTGATGCGGTCCTTCTTTGTGCTGAAGTCCAAGATACTCGGGGCGGTCGGATAGGTTGTAGGCCCTGCGAGGCTGTCCGGATAGGCTGTAGGCCCTGCGAGGCTGTCCAGTCAGGTTGAAGGCTCATATTTGCATGCTATTGTTTGTTATGTTGTGTGGTGGTACTTTGGGGGAACTCACTAAGCTTTGGCTTATGGTTTCAGTTTATTGTTTCAGGTACTTCATATGATCATAGGAAAGCGAATGCGTAATCGTGCACACCTTCCTGTTTTTATGACATTGGATCTTGGGATACTTTGATTATGATTATACTTTTGAAACAATGGTCTTTTTGTAAACACTATATGGTTAATGAGTTGTTTTTGAAAATTTTAAATTTCTATGATTTTTGGGATGTTACATGACGGAACATATATATATATATATATATATATATATATATATATATATATATATATATATATATATATTATAGACACACACACACAACTGTCATATATGTAGTATTAGGTATAGAATCATCAAAATTAACTTAATTTTAATTAAAAACAGATTTTTCTTTAATTATTAGCTTACTCATATTGTTTTTAAACTCATATTATTTATGACTACATGATTCGCCGCCAATATCTATGTAATTTGAATGCACTGTTTTTTTATTAGTCCTCTAATAGGTTTCATAACTTCCTCCGATGGTATCATATGTACAATTTCATGGTTTTCTTATGGGTTGCGGGAAGAGGTTTATTGAGTTTTTTAATATAAAATTTTAATCTTTAACTATAGTTTTCTATATTAAATTTCAATATGGAGACCTAGAGGTAGTTGGCAAAATCTTCTTATACATGTTTTTTTAACATAGATGGATAGATTTTCTTACATTTTTACTTGGGCTTGTAGACTATTCATTTATCTATACTTTAAAAGTTATAACTTATATATAAATACATATAATTCTATCAATTCGATTAATAATTAAGTCATTACTTTATAAATTCCAAACCAAACCACTTCTTATTGGTTAGCAAAAAATAGAAACCAAACCAATAATTTTAAAATTTATTAGGCTTTATCGGTTAATTCAATTTTAGTTTGTTTTTCGTATCATTATGATACGTATGATGTTCACCCATAAATTATAAGGTATTTTACGTTCACCTCCTATGAGTTCCTTGAACCTGCTTTTGAAGATGGACCGGAAGGGGCTTATTAAGAGGTTTGGAGTTGAAGTTCGGCCTTATTTATTCAACCATTTGGTCTATATCGAAATCTCAAAACGTTCTTATTTTCAAGAAAGCGAAAAGCTCCCAAATGAAGAAGACAGATGAGATACAACTTATTTTGTACAAGTGGTTCAAAATTAGTGTTAGTATGTTAAATTGAAATATATACTTGACGTTGTTCTCCAATTTCAGTTTTTATGAACACATTGTAATCTTCTCTAGCACTTTGCTAGATGTTCAAAAAAATAACAAAATAAAAACTAAACATGCAGAGAGACAAAAAGTGGAGGGACTAAACTTATAGTTTCGTCTAACACCCACCATTTAACCATGCAAATCATTAAAATCACGCTATAAATATCAAATACCATTGGAGGCATAAATATGCTCCTTCTCTCTCCTCCTCTGCTTCTCGGCGTGTTTGTTCTCGGAGACGGCGGCCGAGTATCAGATGATTACGATACCCCTACAATGGAGAAAATGGACGGTATTAGTCGCGACAATATGGATAATGGCATTTACGGGTACTAATTTCGACTTCCCCTCTTATTCAACCCAATTGAAATCCGTACTGGAAATCACTCAGGTGGAGCTCAATTACTTGTCAATGGCTTCCGATTTTGGTAAGTTGTTCGGATGGTGTTCGGGGGTGTTGTTATTATATCTTCCGACATGGGTTGTCCTGTTCATGGCTGCTTTCCTTGGTTTGTTTGGTTATGGTCTTCAATGGCTTCTGATTCAGAGACTCGTCTCTTTGCCTTATCTCACGGTTAGTAATCTGATTTGATTTCATTTCTTAATGTGTTTAGTCTTGCGTCCCCGATTTGATTTTAGGGTTCTTTGTTACTTTAAAAATGAAGATTGATTTTGGAAAAGATTATGGGAGATTATAGCAGGATTTCTGCAATCTACCCAATTCTAGTATAGTAGTATTACTGATTTTGTTGACAAACGAACTTTGACCATTGGTAAAGGAAGTCAAAATTGAATGTTAATTTGGTTTCCAGTTTCCTCATGCAGATGCTCATTTCTGCATTTTCTAAGTTAAATAACATTTAATATTTAGTTTTTGGCTTTACATTAAAGCAATTTATTATATTATTGAGTTTGGTTGATATAACTTGTGTGGCAAAGCAACCAAACTTGTTTGGTAGTTTGGTGAGTTGTAGGTGAATAATTGTGCCATTTGTTTGAAGGTAATCGTAATTTATATTGAAATATGAAAATTTATATTTAATATATACAAAAAATAACTCATTGAATTCAAACCGATTAATCCAATTTAAACACATCCACATACATCGAATATCCCATTATAATTGGATTGGATCGCATCTGAAATACCAATATTCAAATTGGACCAATCGGTTAGACCTAATCCAAAATCGAACCGATCCAATCCAATTTTATATATCCAATTATAATAATATTAGTATCCAATTTCAATTATTAATATAGAAATTTTAATTATTTTTAAGTTTGATGAAATTTGGATGGATCAAATTAGATATATTAGATATCCAACATTAATTATCCAACGGAAAAAACCGATCCGGTCCAATTTCCAATTGGATTGATTGATAGTATCGAATTGATTGTATAAAAAATGGTCGGATATGATATTGAACACTATATTGTTTTAAATTTTAATAATAAATTTGTAACCATATTTATTATACTATTTATTACCACCGAAATTTGTAAAACAAAATGGTGACTAGTCAATACAACACAATCGTTAACATGAATATGTTTTGACATATTATCCAACAGGTATTTGTTTTGTGCTTGTTCGCGGGGTGCAGTATCACATGGTTCAACACTATCTCTTTTGTTTTGTGCATAAAAAACTTCCCCAACAACTGGCCACTCGCAGTATCCCTCACTGTTAGTTTCAACGGTCTAACCGCATCTCTATACAACCTCATCGTTACAAAAACAACCTCACACAATACCAACTCCCCCTACCTTATTCTAAACGCATTTCTCCCTTTTGTCACATCCATTTTAGCACTACTCCCGCTCATCCAACAAAAAGAACTAAAAATAGACGAAAAAAATGACACGTATACATTCACATTTCTATATACAATAGCCGCCCTTACGGGGCTATATCTTTTCGTTTTAGATACTCAATCACAAAATATATTCGTGGTTGCAATATTGTTATTGCTTCCATTGGTCTCACCAAAAATGATGCAACTAGCTGTCCGATATCATATAATTGGAGCATTTGGTGTTTACCCTGGTGAAGGACCGAGTTACAATTTAGTTGAAATTAATAACTATAAAGAACTTTATGAAGAGAGTTTGGAAGTGAAATCATGTGGTGATTCGGCTTTTGGGAAGATGATGGAGAAAGATCGGATAATGGTGCTTGGTGAAGAACATAGTGCTAAGTTATTGGTGGGTAGATTCGATTTTTGGCTTTACTATGTGGCGTATTTTTGTGGGGGCACAATTGGGCTTGTATATAGTAATAATTTAGGGCAAATTGCTCAATCATATGGGTATGTTTATAAGACGGAAGCACTTGTTAGTATCTATTCTACATGTTCGTTTTTTGGTAGGCTTGTTTCGGCTGTTCCGGACTTTGTTGGTTGCTTTTACCCGTCGGAGACATATACAAGTAAGTCACATACTATGTTTTCAGTAGATTATTCTTTTAATTAATTGACTTAACTGACATAGACTTAATCTAGTAAACTGTATATAAACATTTCTTTTTAACTTTATGCAAAAAACGACTTATTAGAGAAAAATTAGGAAAATGAAGTCTTCTTCAAACAAGTTTTTATATATTTGCCATTATTACTTGTCGGGTTAAATGCAAGAAATAATAATGTATTTTCACAGACTTGTTCATTATAACATCTTGATTTCGTTTCTTCGTATTATAATACCGTAATTTGAAAAAACTACCAAATATGATTTAAAAAAAAAAAAAAAAAACAAATGGTTTAACACTTATGATAGAAATAAATGAAAGTGCGACGGATACAAATAAATTTATGTTAATGTTTCTTGCATTCAAACATTTTAATTTATTCCTTGTATTTCTCCAAACATCTCAACATTTTTTTTTTCAAATATTTTTAAACCTCATTAATATCAACAACTTAATATATTTATTTTTAAATTTTCCATGTAATGCAGAAAGCTCTACTACCAGAACCGGGTGGCTCACGCTTTCTCTCGTACCAATGCCCATTGCTTTCCTTTTGTTGATATTCATAGGCACCGAGAGTGGTTTGAGTGTAGCCACAGGGTTAATAGGAGTCTCCTCTGGGTTCATATTTTCAGCTGCGGTATCAATCACTTCTGAGTTGTTTGGCTCCAAAAGCTCGGGGATCAATCATAACATCCTCATAACAAACATTCCATTGGGATCGCTTCTCTATGGTGTTCTTGGAGGCGTTGTTTATGACAAAAATATAGAAAGCTCGGGATCAAATATATGCATGGGTCAAAAATGCTATACCGAGACATTCATTTGGTGGGGTTGCTTTTGTGTATTAGGTTTAACTTCAAGTTTCTTGCTTTTCTTGAGAACAAGACTAGCTTATCGAGAAGAAACTATAACTCAAAGGAAACAAATTCTACTTAATGATATCCCAACATGATTGATTAGCATTAAGAAAGCTTTCTAATGTTATTTCCAATGATAAAATTATAAGAGTATTTATGTCTTTCATAATGGAAAAAGAAAAGTATCACTTTTGTCCTGTTAACATTAGTCTCAATAGTCATTATAGTTCAATATATGTCAAAAACAGTATAACATGTTTCGTCTAACAAGGGCCCTAAAACCACATATTTTAACGAGTGTGGAGTCGAAACTTCAGTTACAACACAAAAAAACACTATTGCCACTTTTTCCATGTTTCAAAATTTGTATACAATTAAACCCTAGATAACATTTTACCTCCAAAACAACAAAATCATATTAAATTAACAAAAAAAAGAATATCAAACAAAACCCGTACACATCATAAAAAAAGGGGAAAAAAATGCGATTCAAGCTGATGCGGGAACCTTATTTTGCACAGCGTATTTCCCAAACCTTCTTGAAATAGCAACATCCGATAACGTGTCCCATAACTGCAATTCGCAAATAATGAGGGACTTAAAATGACAAGTATTGAAATTTCAGGGGGATAAAGGTAACAATGCTTACCTCCAAATTTCCTTTAGAGCCACCAAGAGCAAGCAAAAAGGGACAGTCTTGTGAGAAAGATAATGAAAAGATAGCTCCCTAACAAAAACACAATCAGAATTTCATTAATCCAATGAAAATCAATGCACTTACATTTCTTCAAGGGTAGAAAAAAGGAGTTCACAATTTACATTATTGTCCCCAAAAGGTCAAAATACATACCGCTTTGCGATTCTGTGAGGCAATACATGAAGGTTGGTTGTTTGATAGATCCCATAGTTTTACCTGTTATTTCAAAAAGAACAAAAAAATGGATCAAGATTATTCGAAGTAGATGATATAATATAAACAAAATCAATGAAACTACTCTAATAATTCATATGCATCAGTTATAAAAATTACCATTTTGTCTTGAGAACCGGTTGCAAGAAGCTGGAAAAAAAGTACAAACATAGGCCAATCAATATAACATTCAAGATTTCAAGTGTAGTTACATGATAAAACAAATTTAAAAAAAAAAAAAAAAAAGGGTAAAAGAGATATTATTATTACATTTGGTGCAATGGGGTTATAAGAAATAGCACAAACAGCTTTATCGTGTGCATGAAGTGTAAAATTTGGCTTCAACTCAGCTGATGGATTAGATGTTGCTGTTCTGATATCAAATCCAACCACTGTACCATCCTCCAAACTCACCTGAAAAAGGGTATTTTAGTAATTTTAACTAGGGAGGAAATAACGAGACAGGAATGGAATTGGATTCCAATTCCTGTCAAATCCCACGGAATATCATAATACTAACCACAAAAGAGTGTTGCTCATGTGGGTCCCACGCCAAGCTTTCAACATCAGCACTAACAGACCATTTAAACCCTAAATGTGTAGGAACCCTTCCATCCCTCTACAATACAACAAGAATCATATCAACCAATAAAATCACAATAAATATTTATAAACAATAACCACATCTAAAAAACTTGGATTCTACAAGATCATTATTACCATAACAACTGTATGATCGAAGGATCCACTAAGAAGAACTTCATGCTCATGATGATTCCATGCAACTGCTTGAACCTGAACAAAAAATAAATAAATATTTATATATAAAAAGAAAAAAAAAAAAAAACTGAGCCTCAATTTGTCTTATAATAAAGTTTTGAGCTTTTTTTTTTTTACTAAGAAAGATAAATAAAGCTTGCCTTATCTGTATGATGATCCATGGTAAGTTTGCATTTTCCAGTTGCCACATCCCAAATCTTCACTAACTTATCAGCACTTGCACTAGCAAGTATATTCCTGTGTATGAATGTGACAAATGGCTTTGATGATGACATCATAATTGAGTAATATAAATATATAATAATCATAAATGATGTAATAAAAAAATTAATGCCTAACATACCTATACCCTTTGTTCCAAGAAAGACCAAGAACAGCATCAGTGTGACTGTCTTCTTTGTACTTGATGGATTTCTAGGTGGAAGAAAATGAAAAATGAAAAATGAAAAATGAAAAATGAAAAAAAAAAAAATGAAATATAATTGAAGAATTAGGATGACAAGAAACATATGGTGAATGATTGGATACCTCTGTCTTCTTTCCTTTCTTTTTCTTCTTCTTTTTCTCAGCAACTCCACCTAATATGAGAGATGGCTGCACTTCATCCATCTGAAGACAAAGGGTAAACTTGTCATAAAATCTGATGTATTGAAAACAAAATTGAAAATTGATGAGAAATAAGATCAACTTACAATATCAAGATCCCATATTTCAATTGCAGGTTCCATTGAGCCCACAGCTATGAAATTTCCTGAAACCATACAATATAATGAGATATAACACATGAAGGTGACTTATTTTAAAAAAATTGTTTCTTTTTTGTTAAGTTTTTAGTCTTAATTTGTAACTTCATGAATATTACCTTTTTCTCCACCTTTAATTGGGCAATCAAGCCAAGCTGTGCATAAAGGAAATGCAGGGATAAGAATATCATGGTGAACATACATGTTTGAATCACCCTCTGGATCCTCTACTATCCAAACCTGTTAAAACACACAAATTAGCACATGAAAATGTAAGGAAAAACAAAAAAAAAAGGCTATATGCTATATAAATTGCATGCCTCTAGATGACTCATATCATCCTCATTTCGTGCACAAACTACAACAGCATCATCGGCTTTGATAATCACATCTTCAAGCTCTTCAGAGTCCTCATCATCCTAAAGAGTAAAAATTCAAGATTCTTAAAGCTGCAATTTCTGGAAATCAAAGAGAAAACTGGAGTTTGAATATGGAATTATGCAACTTACATCTTTATCCTTGATATAAGGGTCTAATTCATTGCTTGGATAGAACGTGTCCCCAAGCCCCGAACCAAATATGTCAATGGCTGAACAATAGAAATCCATGAGTGTTTGGGTAAAAATGATTATGATTTTCTGATTGTTTAGAGTCATAGCAATCATTTTGAAAACAGACATCAAAACACCCTGAGGAAAAATAGAATATGGAATGAAAGAAGGCGATTAAACGATGAAATACCATCATCTTCATCATCATAATCATCCATGTTTAGTTCATCTAGACCATCTGCTATGTCACGGAGGTCGGATCCACCAGCTTTCCTTGTAGAAGCCTTACCAAGTGCATTAGCTGCACCTAACGCCTGCTCGATTTCAGCAGGCTGTTTGGATGCATCAACACTCATATCTTCATCGTCTTCCTCGCTTTCAACATCAACACTGCAGGCACAAAAAGGGCGTACACAGACTACGAGTTAGAATAAAATTAGTAATTTAATTCATTCCAGAAGTGTAGATTCGAATTAGCGATGTAACTTAAAACCTCCCAAGACCATACCCTTGTTCCACGAGAACTGTCTTCTTTATCTCCTCGATTTCCTCTTTTGAAGGAGGATCAGCTGCAGAAGGGACAGCTTTCGAAGCTCCTTTAGGAACCCATGATATTGCTGAAATCATTCTTCACAATCGTTATCTGCAAACACAAGGTAAATCATTTTTTATGAATTTCATCATTGAAAGGGCTAGTATTTATTGGGACGAAGAGAGTATGACATGTTCATACCAAACATCACCACAAGACATCCAACTCTTACCTTGACGTCGCCGGCGGTGTCGGGGTTTCAACGACGGGTGAGCCTGGATGATAGTCGGCCAGGGTTTTGGTGACTTAAGCGAGGGTTTTGTTCAAAGTAAACCTATGGTGAAATACGAAACAGGAAATAGGAGGGGATTGATCAATGATAAATAAAGACAAAATATAACTTGAAGGGGTATTTTGAAAGAACCCAAATAACAATGGGCAAAGTTGCTGCTAGGAAAAAGATGAAGGGTTGAATCGGAACCCCACAATCTCACTTTTGCGGCAATGTACTTATCAAACTTTTACAAGTCATGAGGAATTTCCTCATGTAGTTTATAAGATATGCTAATTTTATATTCAAATATAATTCATTTTTATATAAATGTATATAACTTAATTCGATATTTTGTTATACAAGACTTTGAGTAATAATGAGTTTTTTAAAACATTGATTCTATTGATTCTATCACCACTTTGTAAGCTTTTTATTAAGAGGTATTTCAGATTTTATTTAGACTTCAAAAAAAACTCTTAAAATTTTGAGAAAATTAACTGTTAAGATTAAGTTTTAAATTGTTTTTTAACAGAAAAACTCAAGAAACCGGATAATTTATTTATTTTAACCAATTTTAACATTTTCAGTGTATAATCGTTTATGTAACATGTTACGCCAAGTTGGAATGAATGTTGACGTGACTTTTATGAAAGAAAAAAATGAGATGGGGTTCAAAATCGGGACCTCTCTCTCCCGAACCACAGCTAGACTAAAACCTCTTCTTGCTTTTTATCCTCGACACTTATATATAATGCAAGCCTTAACAAATTAGACTAAAACATTTTTTTGTTTTTTTTCATATCCTTAACTCTTATATAATGTTTATTCGCTTTCTTTAGCCATAAGGAAAATTCATGAAACTTATTCATTTTAACCTTTTCAGCATGTAATCATTTATGTGACATGCTAAGTTGGAATGAATGTTGATGTGATTTTTATGAGAGAAAAAAAATTAGATGGGGTTCAAAATCGGGACCTCTCTCTCCAAAACCACGACTAGACTAAAACATTTTATTGTTTTATATCCTTAACACTTATGTATAATATCGGCTTTAACAAATTAGACTAAAACATCTTCTTGTTTATTTTTATCCTTAATCCTTATATAATGTTTATCGGTTTTTTTTTAGCCATAAGGAAAATGGATTTTTTATGGGAGAAAAAAGGAGGGCCTCTCTCACACACACACAAACATGCACGCTTTACCACTTGGTTTATAAGGCTTTTATGAATTTTTTTCATTCACCCTTATATTTAATATATACAATATTTAAGATTTAAATACAATAATAATGATAATAATAATAACAATAACGATTATTTTTTTTATTGTTGTTGTTGTCATCGTATTAAAAATGCAA